TAGTAACAAGTGCCTCGCTTCTAGTAACAAGTGCCTTACTTGTAGTAACAAGAAGCTATTAGTAACAAGTGCCTCGCTTCTAGTAACAAGTGCCTTGCTTGTAGCAACAAGAAGCTACTAGAAACAAGTGCCTCGCTTCTAGTAACAAGTGCCTCGCTACTAGTAACAAGTGTTTTGCAATCGTGCTTGGATCATTAGACTTGCCACTTCCAGGCGCTCCGACTGGATGAACTTTGCAAAGGCTACAAGAAGGAGGCCGAGATACATTGCATGGAATTTGGACCCTACACACGAAGGAAGGTGCGAATGGTCATGCTTTGGCCAGCTTACCGAGGTTGATAAATGGAAGGCCAAAGCTGAAGCATTAGACGAGGCGTTGCTTAAGCTGACCGGCCAGAAAAGTGATGGCTGAAGTTTGTCATCAAATGCTGCACAGATAGTTGTATCAGGAAGTGTCATTCAAATCCTTCAACCACCATCTTGGGAATATCCTTCCATATGGATTGTTTTGGAAGCCAGGACAGAAGATTCTTGGAGGACCAGATCAAAGGCAGAACCTCTGGTGAATCCACACTTATATAGCTTTGGTGGACAATAACAGCTCTGTGTGTGTGTTTCTTTCTTTTTTGTTTGTGCCCATTGGCTTCAGAGCAATTGGTGCAGGTGCCAAGCGGCAAAACAAGGCACGCTCATCCATTCGTCTTACTGCATGCTTTGTTCTCCATGCGCCCAGCATCCAGATTCCTTTTTGTGAGATAAGTACAAGTGGTTGTCATTGTTTTCTGTATTCAGGTGTGTTGTTTGTCCAAGACATTTGCCTAGTGGAGATTAGGCTAAGATGCGTGAGCTTTGAGGTGCCTCTCTCTTTTTCAGTATGATTTCAGCTCAGATTCCTGTGCATTTTAGAGGAAGCCACATGCTGCTCTGAAGCGCAATCAACTTACTAAAAGGAGCCGACCAACCTCAATCTCTTGCAGCAGCTCAATGGAGTTCTTCCACTTCATTCAACATGTCGAACACGTGATCCATCAGTTGTTGATCGAATGTCAAAGTGACGCGTCTTATGGCATCGACTTCTTCACATTCTCAAGAGGCCTGGAAGCGGGGTTCTAGTGCCTTGCAGGAACAAAGTTACTTGTGTCAATTAATTTACACAATGTCTCGATGAGCTGTTCCATTTTTCATGTGACTGGTTTCCAGGCTCAGAAGGAAGTGAAGAAGCAGGAGACTTCGGGTGATGGCTGAGCATGCCTTCAGGATCCCAAATTACGTAATGATGTTTCCCACTTTAGAGATTTGCTTTGAAGAGGGGCAACGGAGGCACTTTTGCTTCGAACATGTCGTTAAGTCAGTTGTCGACTTCACTTTTCGATCAGCTTGGAGGCAAAGGGGGCAGATACGAAAACTGCGGAGGGTGAAACCACCAAGAAGCCGGGCCATGTCGAGCAGGAGATTGCGAAGTCCTTTATCGTGCGGGAATTGGTTTGTATCGGCTTTTGTTAGCTCTGTCCATTGCAGCGGTTTTGGAGGACCCTGATGGAGAGGACCCGGAGGTTCTTGCCATTGCCAAGGAAGATGCAGATGCTTGGAAGCACTTTGGAAGGCAAAACCATCCAAGTTCAACCCCGCAGACTTCCACATCTAATTTGACGGCTCCTCACGAGGAGCGTGCAGCTGCAATGGCAGATGCTGTCGCTTCCTGGTGGCAACGACACCGCAGACAACGGGGCCTGTTATTGACACTTACAGTATGCTTTTCTGGTGTACAGTGAGTTGCAAGGACAAAGTAGAGAAGTTCCAACTGGACGAAGACTTTGACTATGACAATTGCTGCTCAGCTGGCACTTCCTGCAATCATGAGTTTCTGTCATTCAAGGGACATAAAGATGGCTTCGGCAGTATGTAGACTCAACACCCATGGTTTGAAAGCAACAGCTACAGTACAGTAACTTGTATGACGGCGCACGTGCTTGCTTCCAGTCGAGGTCCTTTGTCTCCACCGGAGTGGCCCTATGACCAGCGGCCTCGACCAAGCGCAGTGCCAACAAAGTAGGAGCAAGCAATCATTGAACCTAAGACAGATGGTTTCAGTATGTTTGAGTGGACTTTGAGGTCTCAAGAAGACAGCCCGAGCCAACCTGGTCCTGACATCCTTTTTAACTTGCTCAAAGACATGTCTCGTTCCTTTGTCCTGGTTTGCTGATAATTTTGGCTTGACGTACTCGTGGACAGTTTACTGCACTTGTGATGCGTAGGATCGGACAAGTTCAGGAAGCAAAGGACGTTGATCAAGTCCCTGCATGGTCCAGGCAACCCAAGCAACATGCTTTGACCACCAGTCCTTTCTTCGTACTGAAAAATACATCAGATGTTAGATCACAGGCTTGTGTCACAGAACTCAAATCCAAGTTTCGTGAAGCCCGCTGAATTGACAGTTGATTTCCATCAAATAAAAAGAGACAAGAGGAAACATGAAGCGAAACGGCAAAACCCGCACACACACACAATGGGCACATCAACCATAGCTCAGAGCAATCGTTAAACTCCTGTGAATCGTCCCTCGGAGAACCTGTTTGAGCACCTCTTCGCTGTAGCTATTTCTCCTTCGATTTACATCAAGATGGTGGAGTTCCTTTTTTGTTTTGACATCACTGTCAGTTCTGCTTCCTAGCTTGTCTTCAACTCCAAAGATACGATTGAGAGGCTCCGTTACAACATGTATACAACAGGTATACAACAACCCAAAAGGTAAACGCATTTCAGCAACACTCTTGTGAAGTACTTGTAGGCATGTCAAAATGCATTGATTGGAATGTCGAATTTCCTGTGTCCTTACTGTTGATTCCAATCAGGGAGTCTGGGAAACCCGAACCGTTTTTTTTTTTTTAAATCTAGAGTAACACAAAACGCTTGTTTTGTTTGTTCCTCAACTTCGAAACAGGTCCATCTCAATGCACCCTCACAACTTATTGTGGTTCTTCATAGCCCCACCGTTGTCATCAGATTCTAGCTCCTTAGAAGTAATTAGAGTGCAGAGGAATTGACACCTTGCAAGCAAGCTTTGGAGCAAAACAGAACATCTCCGAGCTCACCAATATTCCTTTGCAGACGAGAGGTAGGAAGGTGCCATGGCCTGATCTCCAAATGCAGACGAGGCTCAATGAGATTTAGTCCGACTTCAAAGCCAAGTTGAAAAGAAAGAAGACACCATTTAGATCTGGAAGAATAACATCCAGACGCTTTACAACAAGGCGAGTCCAAGAATATTAGTAACAATTTGTATGTAACATCCTCAAACATATCTTGTTGCATCGGCAGGGCGCAGTTGGCAGAGCTTCAGGGAGAGCTGCGGAGCAACAGCATCATTGCCGAGGTGAGAAAGATTGGGTTTCCAGGGATTTGAGGGGTCCTCGGAGACCTCAAGAATCAGAATATCCTCGGTCTGATTGAACAGGAACTCGCACTCGAAGTCGAACCTGCCTATTTCTCCACAAGTCGATCGATCGGGTCGTGACCACGGTGACTCAAGGGCCCTAAATGGCCGCAAGCGAAAACATCAAATGAGCAAACGTACCTTCAAGTACATGCTGTGAAAACTGGCATCAAGACGGGCGAAGCTTCTTTGTTTAAGCTTGCCACATTGGAAAACATTCAAAAATCAACTTCACTGGTCACCTTTGTCACACACGGCTTTCGTACGTGCTCACAAACGTCCATGCTCCATTCGGTTGAGCCAGATGCATCGAATCCGTCTCAGGGTTGTAGTGTGCAGCGGTCTGCTGCATCTTGTCAGCACGTTCACCACGATCAAACTTCATTCGCTCTCGCTCATGTGGATCAACTTCTTCTTTCTCAGCTTGTAGGGCATCGCACAAGGACTGGAGCTGATTCATCCTCTGGTCCTTGAACCGCACTTCCGCATGGATCTCCATGATCAAACAGAAATGCGCATTGAGAAAGCGGTGCCACTGCCGGATCTGTTCATCAGTGACATTCTCACAAGTCGAGGCCAACGTGAGCTTCAAGTACTCCTCACGTCGAACATCAGGACGACAGTGTCGGATCACATGTCCTCGCATCTGCGGAGACACCTGGTTCGTCCACAAGTTGGCCTGGAGCTCTCGCCATTTGGCTTGATCATCTTCATCTCGAACTTCATCATATCGTCGCTTCCAACGATTGAGCACTTCATTCCATCTCAACACTTCATCATCGCTCTCCGTCTCATTGTCCTCGGTCTCCATGTTAGAGGCATCGACTTCAGCATCGTCATTTGCAGCTTCGGGGAAATCAGCTGCAGTTCCATGGCTCAAACCGACGGACGATCGAAAAGCTAAGGCACAAAAGAACTGATACACAGCCACAAAGGTGTCCTTTAGCTTGTTGGCATACTGCTTCACAAAGTTCTTCAGCAACCAAGCTGAACCCAAGGCTCCCACCAAAGCAAAGCACAAAATGACCAGCATGGTATTCACAAAAACTGGGTCAAACACACGGTCGTCGTCGTTCGTGCTGTTTGCTTCGACACCTTCAATGCTGCTTGCTGCCAACACTGCTAGAGCACAATTTGCTGCTTTTCGCCACTCGTCTCCACCTTGTCCCTTGCGGTGCAAATGAAGGTAGAAATGACGACGGCTGCAGTAGTGGTATGCATCATCTTTCTTGTCCTTCTCCTTTTGACATCCTGGAAGACGGCATAGGTTCATCCTTTCCTTCTTGTCGTGATCTTCCGCCAGGAGTGCCTGACCTTCAAACAATGACTCTGCAGCCTTCTCGTACTCGGCATTCTCCTTGTCTCTCTCACTCTGAGTGACTTTCTTGGCTGCAACGAAGTTGGGGGTCAAAACGAAGGGCATGAACTCCTCTAGACAACGTGTATGCCAGTGATTCACGTGCACTTGTCTTCGTGAATCCATCTGCCAACTGCTGAGTGGAATTCACCCAGCGAAAGTTGCCCATGACGGCATGCAATCGCTCCTTCAGGATGCAAATCTCGATGGCTGTTCTTCTTTCTGAGAGCTTCATGCCAGGAGTCACTGACAGCGTGCTGTCGAACAAGGCCTTCGCATCGGTGATGATGGGTGACTCCTGAAACCAGTGCATGGTTTTGTCCTCATGGATGGCCACAAATGGATTCACCATTGCAGCATAGAAAACCTTGGCCCATTCCAATTCGTCCACTGCAATCGTTGCCGACTGCGCTTCAGCTGATAGCGAACTTCTGCACATCCTCACCAATTTCTTGCTTGCCCAATCGATCACGGTGAGGGGAAAAGGCTTGTGACTCTCCAGCTCAGCTCTATCGGCAATGAACATCATCATACCTCCTTGCGAGCTTCCATCTGGTCGTACCGACCAAGCAGCATCACAGTAAACTCCAAGTCGAAGATCTTGCAGCTCGCCATGCCGACGGATCTTGAACACATAGGTCTTAACGGCTTCCTTCAAGAACCTGAGGCATTTGTTTGCTTCGAGCATGTCTTTGACTGCTGGCTTGTTTATGTGAGCTTGCAAGAGGCTGATGGTTGCTGCAGCTTGAGGAACACATTGCGTCACGGGCCAAGACATTGCACCAACCAATGCTCTCAACTGTCTATGCTCCTTCTCCGTGCACATGTCTTCAACCATGGTCTTTCGAGCCTTCTCCAATGCCAATGGCTTGATCTTGTTGACATACTCCTGCAATGAGACTGAAATCACTTCCAGGTCTTCTGATTGCTGGACTTCTGAGCCGCAAAATCGCATCTTGTCACCAAAATCCCACGATCCAAAACGAAAACGCTTGGACAACTGATGCAATCTGTGTTGGAAACAATCAAAGGCTCCTGCTGGATCATGCTGCACGTCCTGCAAAGAAAACACCTGCTCTCCAGCTCCCAAGAAATCGTCAACATGAAGGCCCAAAGCTCCATCGACAATCCACCAACCTTTGTCCTTCTCAAACTGTAGGAACTCGGGGTCATCTGCAGAGGCGGCACGAATGGACAAGTACAAGCATCGATCAAGTGGATGGTGCACCAAGCCCAACTCTTGCGTCAGGTATCGATCTGCAGTCTCGTTCCACTGACGGGGAGCGCGAACGTCTCCAAAGGCTGGTTTCGTCGCCTTCAGGATCTCGTGCGAACGAAGGCCCATCAAACGCTCAAGTCTTCTCCTCATCTCTCCAGGCGGTCGCACATAGATCCTTGTTGTGTCGTCAATGGAGTCGGATTGCATGAAAGCGCTTTTGACATCTGCACACCACAACTTCCACTTTCGATGAACTGCCCACACCATCAGGGTGATCCTGCCATGTCGACTCAGCGTAGGTGACTCTCGCTGTAGGTTTTCAGTCAAGACGTCTTTGTGTTTGAAGCCCTGCAAGATGACACGAGCATTGGGCTTCGGACCTTCGCTGGTCGGCTTCCATCTCTGCAGAAAACGGGCAGGCACGACCTCCCCTTCGCCGGCTTCTGACTCTGGCACGGCTTTCCAAGCAGCGTTCTCAATCCACACCATCAATGCGGCGTCCTTCGCCTTGCTGAAAGCTTCTCGCTGCTCTGGATTCAACTTGCTTTCCTGGAAGGTCTCTGCCATGAGAAGCTCTTCTTCATCAAGAGGTTCGATTGTGTCCATGAACCGTTCGAAAGCTGGATCCTCTTGCCTGACTGGTGGCAGTCCATCAAGTTGGCGAGACATGTTGTAGGACTGGAAAGCAAGAGATCGGTCGTCTCGAGACATGGGACTCCTCGAACGGCCGCGACTCGGTTCAGGTTCAATCTCTGGCTTCTCCTCACTTGGCTTTTCCATCTTACTTGGTCTCTCTTCGACACCCTCTTCAGGATGCTCTCTCTTCTTCTCACCTTCATCCCTAGGACTCGGGGGGGTTTGTGCTGAGGCTTCTGCAGCGGCGGACTGTCGCTCAACAACCTGCTTTTGCTGTGGTTCATGTGGCTGCGGCTGCTGTGTATCCGCTGTGGCTGTACCCGAGTCCATGGGTTCTTCATCTTTGATCGCTTCAGCAGTGACTTTCTCGACATCATCTTTGGCAGCATCTTCTCCATCTGCAGGCTGTTCGCCAGGTGGCGTGTCCGTTGCAATCGCAAAAGGTGGGTCCCCGGAGAGGTCAAGAAAACGAATGGGACCACGAACAGGCTGTAGGACACGACGAACAGTGGACTGAACATCTGCTACACGGGCTGTAGATGGGAGATGCAGCAAGCGAGCCTGAGTCTCACGAGGCGCTTCAGGGCGCAAATGCTCAGGAGCAACCCGAATCAAAGCTGAGCCATGAGCAATCCAGTAAACGGAAGGGCGAGGAACATCACCAGATCCATCTCGTGGGGTCATTGAACAAACAAGTGCAGGGCCACGCCAACGACTTGGTTCAAGTTTTCCATCACCTGACCTCCAATAGTAAACCCAGTCTCCTGGGTAGAAGATCTGGTCCTCACCACGACTCTTGCTCAACAAAGCTTTGCGAAGTGTTTGGCTGTGATTCGCTTCGTAGAAACTCGTCGCTGCTGACAATCGCAGCTTCTGCAGCTGTTGGTGATCTGGAGTTCCATCAGCTCGGTTGGTCAATGGCTCATCTGCAAGGCCTGTGTCACGATGATCTCTTCCAAAGACGATCTGCGACGGTGACACACCATGGATGGAGCGCAACTTGTTTCTCAAAGAGCATGCCAAGGGAGCTGCCAACTCCAATTGCAGTTTGGGATTTTCTTGCTTCATCTTCAACAGTTGTAATCGCCTCACTGCATGAAGTCGCTCAACAGTTCCCATACGGTGATGCGCCTCCTTTGGAACCAAAGTCAGCTTGATGTTGTGATCATCCATGTAGCTCAAAAACTGCTCGCTCATGTGCGCTCCTGATGCATCCGTTCGAATCCTTGCAGGACAACCGAACGCATGAATCCAGTCATCCAACACCTTGAGCTCCTCCTTCTCTGTCTCAGCGTCAATCACTCGGTTCATCTCATATCTTGAGAAAAGGTCGATGATCGCCAGGACACGACATCTTTTGTCATCCCACTTGACATGGAAAGTGTCCATCTCCAGCATCTCATTGAAGCTTGTGGTTTGTGCTAAGGATGCCGGCTTGGGAAGCTTCTTTGCCTGAAAATTCTGGCATGTGCTGCACTTGTAGGATTTGGCACATTGAATCACTTCATCACACAAACCTGCTTGCTTCACTGCATGCACAAGGCGATCACGGCCAGGATGACCGAGTTGTCGATGTAACTTCTCCACCACTGACAAAGCTTTCTTTGAATGGGTCTTGGAATCACTGACTTCTTCTTTTGTCACTTCCATAGTTTCCTTCTCTTCTTTCATTTCTTCAGCAACCATGATCTCGCCAGCAATGATCTTGGCGATCTCCTTCTTCCTCCATGCTTCACACATGCTCTCATAGATTGCTTTTCCAGCTCGTCGAACAAAACCATCTTCATAGTTCTGCATCTTCTGAAGCCCTTTTGTTCGCCCCTCCATCTGAACGTGAGGACGAGTGCAATGACATGCCAAATCTAGAGCTTCAGCCACTTTCAAAGAACTTGTTCTGATTCTCGTCTGTTTTCGAACTGGTCCATCGTCATCCTTGTCCTTGAAGTAAAGACCAGTCCTGCAACGGTTGCAAACTGCTTCAAAATAACCACGCATGCTTTGCAGAGTTGGTGTATTCCAAGAACCAGCTCCATGTGGGTGCTCCATAGCGTAGTCATTCTCATTCTCTTTGCTCACTGTTGCAGAGTCTGCCACCAATGCCAAATGTGAATCTTCCTCTTGGTTGAGTTCTTTCTTCCACTCGGTGAGCTGCTCAGCATTTCTTCTTGTCAATCTCTGCATGGCTGACCATTTTCTGCACGGGGGTGCCAGCCAAACAAACTCTGGGCTCACTTCTCGCAAGAGCTCAACAAACTCTTCACGGACTTCTTTGCGCTCGAAATCCCATTCTGGCAATGAGAAAGTGGAAACCTCTACGTCGCTGTAGTTCTTGGCCAGGTAGACTGCAAGGTTGCCCTGGTCCACATAGACTTCAAAGAACTTCAAAATTCTCTTCTTTTTCAACCTTGCGATCACATCCTCGGCCACCTGGTCTGCCATCAGGCTTTCATCTTCTGGAACTTTCGAAATCTCTTCGTTCATGAAAACAGTGGCCTCCGTCTCCATCAACGGCTCAATGAACCACACGTTGCTGGGATCATCTGCTTCGTTTCCATCATCCTCAACTTCCTCTGTCTGAATGAAGGTCTCCTCAGACATGTTGGCATTCTGGTACATCATCAGGTCCAGGATGAAGTGTCCCCTTTCGTTTCTCTCAGGTCGAAACCATTCAGACTCTCCGATCTTCATGAGTCCTTTCTTGTAGTCATGAACGACTCCCCACTCCTCCAAAGTGGGTCTTGCAAGCAAGAAGGGTGTTGCACCAGGAACCACGGAAGCGGTCACTGGAAGACATTGTCCGTGAACAACTGCAGTAAAGGTCACCTCGTACTGGGACTGCAAGACTTCACCGCCTCCGAACTTGAACTGGCGAACGATGGCACGAGATGTGACTGGCTGTGTTTGTTCACTTCCATAGTGTTCCAACCAGCGGTGCCAGTTCTCCTCACCAACAATCGTTCGAGTGGCTCCACTGTCAACAATCACCTTCCCCTTCTCCATGGCCGCGAAGAAACAATGTTCATCCAACTTCAACTCTTCTTCATGGCCAATCTCCTCAATGTCTTCGACCATCGTCACTTCTTCAGGCACTTCTTTCACACCTTGACCTTGGCTTCTATATCGCTTGAACCGAGGTCCATGCTGAGCCGTGGATCCAGTCAATGTTGACCCCTCTGAGCCACCGGTAGTGCTAGTAGATGACATAGGGCTCTTTCGCAAACCTGACATCGGTCTTCTGTTGAAAGGGGTTCGCCTCATGAAGTTTCCTCCACCTTTGCTCTTTCCTTTTCCTTTCCCCTTTCCAAAACCAGACTTGCCTTTGCCCTTGCCACTCTTTCCTTCTCCTTTGGGACTTCGCTGACTTCCCTTCTCAAAGTCGGGACCCAAAGCAACCACCGGATAGAATCCTCTCGACAAGGCCAATTCCTTCATCCTCTTGCGGCTCTCAATGTAGGACACGTAAGCCTCATCTGTCAACTCCATTGCTTCTTCAAGCTCTTCAGGAATCTCGTCATCCTCAATCTCGCCATACTCGAAGGCTTCGTCTTCATACCACTCTTCAGCGGCATAGCCTTCTTCAAACTCCTCATACCACTCTGAATCATCTTCTTCGTAGAGGACGTCATCCTTGTTGTTGGCCTGCTGGACACGTCCAAAATCACGAGCATTGGGCTTATGATCTCCTCCAAACATTCTGACCAATGCTTTGGCCACCTTCTCATACTCAAGGTCGCCAGCGCACATGGACTTGATCTGAACGTGTGTCCATCTTGGAACTCCAGCTCTTGTCAACAAATGCCACCCCGACAACAACGGTGGGATGTCCACACTTACCTCACTCATGCGCTTGAGGAGGTTGCGATGGCGAATGATATACGCCTGCATTTCTTCTCCCTTCAGGCGGTAGAACTCAGAGAAGAACTCATCGCAACGGGAGGGCACTTCAATCAAATCCTCATACCGGTACAACTCGTCCAGCAGCTTGAACAACAACTTGAAAGGATCTGAGGCTCTCTCGACTTCATCGAAGCTGAGGTGCTCTGTTGCATCCCATGCGACATCTTTCAAGCGGCTTATGATGAGGAACGTTCCCTCGACAGCAACTTCACGTCCTCGTCGGCTACACTGCCTCTGAAACAACTCTAATCTGCGCCTGAAACTTCTATAGCTCTTCTGGTTCAGGTTGTCGGTGGAAGGACATGCTTTCGCCAGACCTGAATCTAGTCCCTTGCTCTGCGAAGCCGAAGAAAAGGGCATACCTGGAAGCGGAAGGCCAGGATCATCACTCTCGACATTCGCAAACAGTCCTCCTCCTGTAGTACTGGCAGCTGCGGGATTCGCAGGTGCTGAGGTCCGCGCTCGTCGGACTGGTGTCCTTCGTGGACTTCTCTCCATTCCGGACATGGGAGCTTATCCTCAACCGTCCAAAGGAAACAAAGGTCTCCTCAATCAAAAAGATCACCGAAGAAACCGTCAACCTGGAACGTATTGGGCTCCGCTAGCAATCTGATTGAACAGGAACTCGCACTCGAAGTCGAACCTGCCTATTTCTCCACAAGTCGATCGATCGGGTCGTGACCACGGTGACTCAAGGGCCCTAAATGGCCGCAAGCGAAAACATCAAATGAGCAAACGTACCTTCAAGTACATGCTGTGAAAACTGGCATCAAGACTCGGATCTTGTTTTTTGGTATTATTATTAGCCTGCTCTTACTTAAGTATATAAGTAGGCGCCTACGTAATTAAGTAAGGGAGTAGTTCGCTCCTAGCTACTTAAGCTACAACATATGGACGCAGGATAGCTCATGGCTTTTTCAAGGAAGCTCCCCCCTTGAAGAAGCGCTTGCACTAATGATTTGGTTCCTAGAATTTTATGGGGGACATGCAACAAGGTCTTCAGGCTTTCTTCCCCAAAAGAGAGGCTGGACTGCATATGCTTCTTGCAAAGGGCAAGACATGATTGCTGTGACCCATTAGTGCTCTCAGGTCTCCAACTGGAAAGAGGACATCCGTGACTGGCGAAAGCTCAGCTGTGAAGCCACCGCACGGCAATGGAAGGAGTCTTATGCAGCACGTGGTGTTTGCAAGCTTGCAATCCTCCAAGAAATACTTAGGCAATGTTCACGTGCAGATTCAGCTACATCGCTACTAGGAACAAGAAGCTACCAGGGGCTCCTGGCCTTACTACTAGGAGCAAGGACGCTCATGCGAAAAATCAATGTAATCTGAGGAACTGCAAGAGTCTCCGCCACCACCAAAGACACCACGGCTCTATTCTACTCATTTGAGGCCATCGAACAGTTCTTGAAACTTTACCCGTGAATTCATTTTCAGTACCAGAGTACGTGCAGCTTTCACTGTTTTTCAACTCAAACAAACTGCCCATTTTGCTTGATTCGACGATTCAAGTTTCCAGCGCACAGCACAGTGGTCAGACTGTTGCAGCTGAAATCTTACCAACCTATAGCATTTTGATGCATTTTGTGGTCTGACTCAGTCTGACCAACTCCCTTGCCATTTGATGGTTTTGGCTTGACACACCTCCGTCTGTACTGTAAACATTTGCTTAGTGTGCTCTGAAGCGGATTGCTGCATTGGCAAAAGACGCTGTGTCCATACTTTGATATTTTGTTCGTTTGCCCCTACTCAGCCTTACTTGCGCACTTGGCACCACACACACAACACACAACACAAAGAAGCATTTTGGCACAACCTAAGTCGTTTTGACATATATATATATATATACACATAAATATTCCAAGCTGACAATGGGTTTCAGGGTGCGACAGTCTTTGCTCGCAGGCATCACTTACAGCCGGGGGTTTTGTGATGAGGGGAGATCTAGGCAGCAGGCAGATACCTAGAGGATTCCATTTGTGTGTGTTCACTCGTAGCCACAAAGGCAAACACACACACACACACACAACCTCACAGTTGCGCCGTGGCACAGTCTTGAGTTTTGCAGACTTGTGTAGCTCCCCACTCCTCAGGTTGCCTGTAGCGGCGATTCAACGCAGACAGTTGTGTGTTGAAGGGTTGCTCAATGCCATTGCTGTGGGCAATCTACAGGCGCTATTTGTTGCTTCTCCCTGCCTTTGTCGACCATTGCGTTTATTCTTCTTTTTGGGGACACTTTATGGATAACGGCCTTACAGGCTTTGAGTGGCAAAGCTAATCTCACTGAAAGCAGTTGTGTGGATTGATCTATGTTGCAGTTTTGCGAAGCGAATCTGACACTGACCTCTCACCAGCAAGTCAACACGAGATACAATGTTTTGCAGGCTTGTGAAGAGGGGTATTTCTGGGCACCTGGATCCTTGGCTGCTTATGGCAGATCTTTGTATACTTGACACCATGCAAAATTTCTGGGAACCACTGCAACTTTTGTGTTGCCCGGCTTGTGCGATTTGTTCAATATGCAGTGGCTGTGCTCAAGGTTTCGCTCCGGGCGCAGTCGAGCATCCATTGCGTGCACCGCTGTCCCATGCTTCAATGCCAACTATGCGGCCAAAATCCAGTCCTGCTCAGATCGAAGCAGTGCACGACCAGGCAGAGCACATTGCGATCGAATATTATAACACATTCTAGCAAGTTGTAATTGAAGGAGATCAAACTTGCTACTTGCTACTTGTACGTGCTTGCAGAGTTGCCAAGGATGTCCTTCAATTGTGCCGAAGTGCTGCCCAGTCTGGTCAACGAACCGCCCTGGTCCACTTTGCGCCAGCTGGTGAAGAGCAAGCATTGTGCTTCGGCCAATGATAAATCTTGAAGAAGCATTTTCGGCAACTGGATGTAGAGAGCTAAGGCCAATGCGAGAGCTGCGCGAGTCACAGCTATATTTGAGGACCACCCATCCAGTGGCAGTTTTTTTGAGACCTTCAGATAGCAACCAATTTTGCGCGTGGCTGTTTGCTTCTGTGGCAGGAGCATCAGCAAAGACACTAAGTAGCTAGCCTGAAGTTCAGCACAAGCTTGATACATATACATATACATATATATATATATATTGTATTGTATAAAACTATTTCACCAAAAGTTGCCCAGATTCTGATTCTGACTCCCAAAAAAGGAAGCGAGAAACCGATGAAACGTTGAGGGTTCCCAAGGACAACCAGTGCAAAGATCAACAGCCATGGAGGATGTTCCTCTCGACAGAGCTCCGAAAAGCATTGCAGGTGTTTTATTGTTGATGGGCTGTTGGAGGCCCTAGTAGCGTCCTTGCTCCTAGTAGCGATGCCAGGAGCCCCTAGTAGCGTCCTTGTTCCTAGGGTCCTAGTAGTAAGGCCAGGAGCCCCTAGTAGCGTCCTTGTGCCTAGTAGCTGTTGGACAAATTCTTTGCTGTGTGAGAGGACCACGTATCTTTACGCTTTGAGCACATTGCCTCGGCAGATGCACAAGGATGCTTCCAAGGCGTTGCAGGACGGCTGCATCATACACACTGTATCTCGTTTGACCCGAGGGACCGGGGGTTGCCTGGGGAGCATCAGATATTTTCTGTTTCGTTTGTTTCTTTGGGGAAGGTGATCATGAGTTTTGGTTCCTGTGGCATTCAGGGGATAGACATAGATAACGTTTCAACTTTTGGACAGTCACAGAACGGAACAACAGGTAAACAGTAAACACTATCCTCATTGGGTTGCGGAGGGTTGGTGTGGAAGTTGCAAGAATGCTGAACGCTCGCTTCACATCGCGTTGGTGTCCGGACAGTGGCACTGCTTGAGTGGCACTTCGTTGCTCTGCGTCAGAGACGATCGCGACCCACTGTATACCTTAATCAAAAGCCTGGCCTGGCGCTGTCAGAATAACGCCAATGCTTCCAGGACACTGTCCAGACAGAAGGCTAGTGGCCTGAGCTTGCATCGACGTGCTTCAAGCAAGCACACGCGACTGTCAGTTCCATGGGTCCCCGAAAAGCTTCAAATCTACTGTCACTTGCAATGAAAGATTGACACGCCTTTGTTTTCAATGGTGAGACCTATAGTTTTGACAGGTCTTTCTTATATTCACATCATTTCACATCCATATTCTATACATAGCCAACATGCACTGGCCACAATTAGTCTCAGACAATCCAGCATTGTTGCAGCACACGAATACAATCAGAGCATGCATTAGGCGTGAACAGTCAAATTTGCTCGCGCGAGTGGACAACTGCATTCTTGATCAAGAAACATGCGTTCAATTTTACCCCCAGTGGCCCTGGGATCATGCAACGGCACACGCCCTGACAAAGCATGCGTTGCTCCGGACACCCCGTCCTGACCCTTGATCCCACAACAACCTCCCGCAAACCTCAATGTACTGTATTGAATTTGCCAGCAGAAAATCTGAGAAGTGAAGACACTGAACACGTTCCGCACCCGTCTGGTGGACGGATCCTAACGTTGTTTGTTGGTTTGTTCCTTCAGAGCGTGGAGGGCGAAGCAGAAAACTGCTTAAGCTCCTTGCCCTTGCTTGCAGTCTGAACATCAACCAGTTTGCCTCGTGCCAGGGTTTCAGACCGTCAAACGGAGAGTGCAGTATCGGTTTCCATCCGCATAAGAGCCAAGGTTAACCACATTGATTGTGGGTACCATTCAGAGGCATGAGATATTCTGGGTCAGTGCTTTCTTACCCTACCTTCTCCTGAGTTGTCTGGATTGTTCCGACCACCCGGTTTGAAGCTGCTGCAGTTGGATCCAAGGCACATGTTTCGATCTTGCGCGGAGACGTCGCTGAGGGCGCTCCTTGGCTTGAGCCCACAGAGATCGAAGTCCTCACGGTGGCCTTGCAGCGCAGACCGTATGCAGACCACCACGAGCACTTGGACAGCAAAACATTTGAACTATCTCAGACATGGATGCACAGGTAGAAAAACATATATAGAACAAGCAAGAAACTTGATGTGCAGGGCAATCTGGCACAGTGTGAGATCAGAAAACATAGAGGCCAAAGGCATACAACACAAAATCAAGGACGTGCATACTCACATGGCTTGACACTGCAGAGATGGCAGGCAATATGGCCGGATCCGCGAAAAGGCGGCAGTTTCTTGGCATTGCAATGGCCAAATTCTACAGGATGAGGTGCACAGGGCACAGTTCTTTTTTTTGCACTCCTGTTTGTTCTTTGCAAGAGCTGGACACCACATACTCCACCCGGAGTGTCTCCTGAGCACCTTGACGCACTTGACAGTTGTCTTCAGTCCTAGGTGGCAAAGACCATTGACGACATTTTCGCGAGCGCTTGGCTTGAAGTGAGATGCTCTAGGAAACAAGTTTTAGCATTGACACCGAGAGTTATGTGAAAGGATTTGTTTTTGATGTCAAAAGAGAAATGTGTACTTGTACCCCACCGGTTTCTTCTGCCCAGGTGCTGCTGAATTTGGCATCGAGGTATTGGTCTTTCCTCCTCTGGGTATCAATGGCTCTTTTGGCTGCCCCGAAGCTTATATGGGCAAAGCTGAAACTGGGCAGTTCTCAAGTCTAATTGATTTGTACTAAGCAGGTAACCGCGGTTCCCTCGTGAAACAGCAGAAGCCTTGCAATCAGGAACTTTGCACTACGTAGAACTTTGCACTACGTATCCTTGCTTCAAGAGTCTTCTACATAGGTCTAGCCGTCCGAGAAGCAAATGAAGCGGGAAGTGCAATGCACGGAGAGGTTCCATCACGCCACACTAACAAGCCTATCCTTTCAAGAACATGTAACATGATTGCAATATATATATATATAGTATGATGGACAGAGTGGGAAAACTGACATTTGATGTTCGGCTTTGCACCTATTTCCACGTGAAGTCCCGTATTGCCCACGTGGCTCAAGCCTCTCATGTCCATTTCTTTGCTTCCTTCTTTGGAATCATTACAATCAAATGCGTGGACTGCTCTCAAGTTTCGACCCTGAAACCCATGTGTGGTGTGTGTACGCGCTGTCTGCTGCTGAGGCTATCATCCACCTTCAGATGCTGGACAACTGCTTCGGCATGCAGCACTATCAGGTGGCGATGTAAAGGCAGGCCAATTGTGTTTCCGGGGATTCGTTCCAGAATAGTTTTTGTTGTAAAGTAGAATTCGATGTTGGCCTCAATATTGAGGGCTGTTGATCTTCATACTCCAAGCATCTCCAAGCAGGTCAACAAGTGTGGAAAGACAACCTCAGACATGTGTTCTGATACTGTATTTCATTTCTAGGATCCGACGAATCTTGTAGCCAAAAGTTGAAAGATTGGGGACCCTAGCTTGAGGTGTTGGTCGCGAAACAGCATTCTGGACCCCTGGGGGGTTGGGCATCTTTTGCAGATGCTGCGCGGATTCTCAGGGGTCCAAAGCATGCTTGTCTAAGCTTGCTGCAGATCAGTACCTTGTGCTGTCACTCTTTATTATCCTACCAAAGCATATTTGTTTTTTGATGGATTCTCATTTTTGTAGGCATCCTTGTGCTCTTCCGGAATGCTGAAACGGAGACCACCTCTAGGTCCTTCTTAGTGAGTTGGCAGGTTTCTCTCAGAACGTTCTCAGCAGATTTCTTTGCAAAACTCCTAGGTTGTGAATGGCCGAGCGCCACTGAAGCGGGAGCCTCCTATCCCGATGCATTTGTGCCTCAGTGAAGAATCAAGAGTTCATTTTGATCACAATCGTTTCAGGTTCATAAGTCACTCCAGAGAGGTCACAAGTATACTAATGTAATGCATGTCCAGTACAGAGGGCAGCTGTGTGGAACTGGTCCAAGCCTGTGCCGCTTCAAGGTCGCCTTACTTCAATTGCTACTTGGGCCCGCTTCCAAGCCAAACAACGATCTAGAGCTGGGTTAGTATGGAGCCACATAGCGGACAGGCATGTTCAATGTCATGACAGCAAGGTTTTGTAACTTGTCGTTTTGTGAAGTTATATATTTCGCAAACATTTGTGTGGGCAATTATGACGAGTTCAAACCGTTTAAGGCTTGCTTTTACAACAAGGCTAGAGAAGATGACAGAACGTTTTTGGGTTTCGTTGGTTTCTGCAAAAGGCAAGAAGAAGCCGGACTTCACTGTCTTCACCCTCCCACGGCTCAACTCAGAGTCCAAAGCCAAAAACAGTGCCGAGGAAGCTGTGCCTAGAGTAGAGTCAGAAGCTGCTTTTGGTGCTTCATAGCCAGACTTTGTGAAGAATTGCAACTCTTCTGCACTTCTTCCAAGCGCACAGTTTCTACAATCCAGATCGCTGAAGCACAGGTTTCTTGGATCGCCAAGATGGCTTCTCCCAAGTCCAAATACTGGAGGGGAAATGTGTCCAAGAACACTTGTTTGATCGAATGGTCCTGTCGACTGCACCCAACAGAAGAAGCCAAAAAGATCAGCTCGGACGCGGCCCTTTAAAGCTTCGGAGTAGAGTCTGCGTTTCTTGGCTTCGCTTCTTTGGAATCGCAACCCCCCGACTAGGCGTCAAGAACTCCACTCACCTCTTAAGACGCTCTCAAAATGAGCTTTGAGACAGCCTGGATTTGCCAGCTTGACAGGCTATGAATTTTTGAGACGCACAGTGTTTCACCTTGCAAGTGAGTCCTGTTCTTGTTACAAGAGTACAACAAAATGCAGTTTTCCTTGCAGATTCTACGTGCCGCAGCAGAACGTGCTCGATCGTGGATACCTCAGGAGTCTTGATTCAGAGACAGAATGGGAGATTACTCGAACAGCATTAAACCAAAAAAGGATGCGACATTTCGATCGCTTGAGGTCAGCATACACAGCCTTGATGGCCACCAAAGCAAAGTCTGAGGTGCAAAATGTTCGAAGTTTGAAGGTATTTTGATCCAACAGTTGGGGTTTGCTAGCTACCCTGGCTTGCAGGGGGACACTGAGCTGGAAGCCTCTCCACCACAGGTTGAGGCCCGTTGCAAGCTGATTTGAAGGACTTTACGACTAAACTTTCAAGTCTACTACTCAATCTTCCAATGAACTTCAGTTTATTGCTAATTTAAGATTTACAGAATCTACTGTAGCTCAGTCTCTTGTTTTAGTGTGAATCCTCCAGGTGGGCCAGCGACCTGCGAGCACTGGCTCTGCTGCCGGCTCTGCCGCGAAGCGTGCCATGGAGGTGGAGCGAAAAAGGAAAGAAAACGACGAAAGAAAACATAGAGTCTTTCATGGAACCATTGCTAGTAGGGTGGAGGCCATCGCTATTAGGTTGGAGGCCATTGGAGGCCATTGGTATTAGGTTGGAGGCCATCGCTATTAGAAATAAGTTCATTGAGAAACCACACTGATAGGATCAGCTTGCCGGATTTTGCAGAGTGACCTTGCTGGGCCCAGCAAGAAAACAAGTTGGTTCTAGTATACATTCATCAAATAGATAATTGATTAAATGCAATTGAATTCTATAGTGAGAAAATACGGACTGAATTTCTCTCAGGTTCTTTTCGTTCTGTGTATTTGTTTTGCCCCGCAGATTCTCAGGTGCGCCGAAGCGAAACACCTGAGGTGGCAAGCCGTGGGTTGGAAAGCTCAGAAAGCCTGGGAAGACGTGCATCACCAGATTTCACTTAATGTGATAGTCCATCCTCAGCCAACTTCACTTCTAGTTGTTGGACTCCTTATTTCTTTTGGCTGTCACAGCTATAAGGCCTGAGCGAATTCAAGATGCGGCTCCTGCAGCTGGAACCTATGTTGTTTGCTTGACATTGCAACCGTATCAAATTTGTTCTGCCGCAGACAAACGGACGGACGGACGGACGGGCCGACGGACGGATGGACGGGAGAGAGAGAGAGAGAGAGAGACAGAGAGAGACAGACAGACAGACAGACAGACAGACAGACAGACAGACAGACAGACAGACAGACAGACAGACAGACAGACAGACAGACAGACAGACAGACAGACAGACAGACAGACAGACAGACAGACAGACAGCCAGCCAGCCAGCCAGCCAGCCAGCCAGCCAGCCAGCCAGCCAGCCAGGCAGGCAGGCAGGCAGGCAGGCAGGCAGCCAGGCAGGCAGGCAGGCAGCCAGGCAGCCAGGCAGCCAGGCAGCCAGGCAGCCAGGCAGCCAGGCAGCCAGGCAGCCAGGCAGCCAGGCAGCCAGGCAGCCAGACAGCCAGACAGCCAGACAGCCAGACAGCCAGACAGCCAG